TTTGCCTGCATTAAACAGATCTACTCCAAGCATTCAGTCTTGACTAATGTGTGGAAGTAAAGGCGATACCAGCGATATTTACTTTGATGAGTGTTGGAGCTTTGTTATTTGGGGAAAGGGATCCCGTGGTGGCGATATACTGGTGGTCCGCCACATGTTTCTTATCTCCTTTTTAAAATGTCTTATCCCGTTTAGTGTATTTATCCCCTATTTTTCTCCATTGTGCGTCTTACACCTCCCTTGTGTATCTCTTCCAACCCCCTTTGTGTGCCTTCTCTCCAAACCCCACAATGTTTTATTTCAGTCTACAAGAGTCTAATGATGGTTGATGTAGATTAGCTTTAAAGGGACACTATAGTCACCAAAACAACTTTAGCTTAATGAAGCAGTTTTGGTGTATAGAGCATGCCCCTGCAATCTCACTGCTCAATTCTCTGCCATTTAGGAGTTAAATCACTTTGTTTATGAACCCAAGTCACACCTCCCTGTATGTGACTTGCACAGTCTCCCTAATAACTTCCTCTAAAGAGTCATCTACTATTTATCCTTCCTTTATTGCAAGTTCTGTTTAATTTAGATTTTCTTATCCCCTGCTATGTTAATAGCTTGCTAGACCCTGCAAGAGCCTCCTGTATGTGATTAAAGTGCAATATACAGAGAAAGAGATACAATGGTTTAAGGTAAATTACATCTGATTGAAAGTGAAACAAGGTTTTTTTCCATGCAGGATGTGTCAATCCGACCCAGGGGAGGTGTGCCAAGGGTTGCAGAAACAAAGTGATTTAACTCCTAAATGGCAGCGAATTGAGCAGTGAAACCTAGGAAGCATGATCTACACACAAAAACCTGCTTCATTAAGCTAGAGTTCTTTAAGTGACTATAGTGTTCCTTTAACAGTGTAAGCAAACACAAAAAGTCAAATAGCAAAAACAACACAAAAAGACTCCATTAACCCCTTAAGACCGCAGCCAAATGTACAAGTTGTGCTCAAAACAAAACGAAAACAAAACCTGGCATTTGCGCTATATGTCTGTCCAACCGTAATTCACCTCTTTCATTAAATGCACCCACACTTATTATATATCATTTTATTCAGGGGAAACAGGGCTTTCATTTAACATCAAATATTTAGGTATGGAACATAATTTAATATGAATAAAATATAAAACAAATGGGAGAAAATAAGATTTTTTTTTAATTTTCTTAGTTCTACGTGACATTTTAACTATGAATGTCAAAATACTGTTTGCTTTTACTGCAATAAAATACACATATTTGTATTCAGCGATATCCCACGTGTAAAAGAAAGTACCCCCTATGTACAGGTTTTATGGTGTTGTGGGAAGTTATAGGGTCAAATATAGCATGTTACATTTTTTTTTTTTTCACATTGAAATTAGCCAGATTGGTTACTTTGCCTTTGAGACCATATGGTAGCCCAGGAATAAGAATTACCCCCATGATGGCATACCATTTGCAAAATTAGACAACCCCATATTGCAAATGGGCTATGTTCAGTCTTTTTTAGTAGCCACTTGGTCACAAATACTGGCCAAAGTTAGTGTTAATATTTGAAAATGCAAAAAACTCATTTGAATGCCAATTTTGGCCAGTGTTTGTGACTAAGTGGCTACTAAAAAGACTGAACATACCCCATTTGGAATACCCTGTGTTGTCTACTATTGCAAATGGTATGCCATCATAGGGGTAATTTTCAATCCTAGGCTACCGTACGGTCTCAAAGGCAACATAACCAACCTAGCGAATTTTAATGTGAAAAAAACGGAAACACAAGCCTTATATTTGACTCTAACGTTTGAAAACACCATAAAACCTGTACATGAGGGGTACCGTTATACTCGGGAGACTTCGCTGAACACAAATTTTTGTGTTTCAAAACAGTAAAACGTATCACAACAATTATAAGTGCCATTTATGTGTGAAAAATGCAAAAAAGTTCACTGTCACTGACGATATCGTTGTTGTAATACATTTTACTATTTCGAAACCCTAATATTTGTATTCAGCGAAGTCTTCCGAGTAAAACAGTACCCCCCATGTACAGGTTTTATGGTGTCTTGGAAAGTTACAGGGTTAAATATAGTGCTAGCAAATTAAATTCCCTGAATTTTCGGCCTGGGTTGTCAGGCAGGTCCTGCAAATTGTAATTAATAAAATTACCTAATTATGCAAAATGATTACATAAATATATACGTAGAATTATTATATATATATTACTGAATGCATTACTGAATGCTTTCCTATGGACGTCCAGCGTCGTCTCACTGTGATTTTCACAGTGAGAATCGCGGAAGCGCCTCTAGCGGCTGTCAGTGAGACAGCCACTAGAGGCTGGATTAACCCTCAGTGAAACATAGCAGTTTCTCTGAAACTATGTTTTCCGCTGCAGGGTTAAAACTAGAGGGACCTGACACCCATACCACTTAATTGAGCTGATGTGGTCTGGGTGTCGATAGTGGTCCTTTAACTAGGAGGGATGTAAACTTACTTACTTCAACTTGCCAGTTGTCCTATCAAGTAATATAAAACATGAAAAGTATATGAAAGCATAATGTTTTTTTTTTTTTACAAAATTAATGTATTTCTCTCTCTCTCTCTCTCTTTTTTATTTTTTATTTCTCTCTCTCTTTTCTCTTTTTCTCTCTCTCTCTCTCAAATATATTCCTGTTCATCTGAGAGCATCATGCAAACACTATCATTGTGTGGTGATGACATATACTTGACTTCTGAGTCTTTGAATGAGTTTAAGTGAATTGTGAGGGTGGGGTAATAATTAGCATAACCACAAACAAGACGTATCATTCTGAAAGCTACTAAATTATCATTGTCAAAATCTGTGGGAGTACTAAAAACATGTTTTTATATATAAAAATAATCCTTTACTGAAAAGAAATCAGACATAATGTCAATCAAGCAGCCTAGGTACATTCAGAGTTGGAATGTCACAGTCTTTAGTAGTTTTTTACTGCTTTGCTAATATGGTCATAATACTGAAGAGAGTTTATTTAAATCTCTAAAAAAAGAATAGGACACAAATTAACATGTTAGGAAAAAATGGTCTTGAGTTTTTTCAGAAAATAAAAAATTCAAGTCTTTAAAGATTTTCCATTACACAAACTCATTGAATTCATGAAATTCATGGGAACGCATGACAATTTCCATTTTGAGTTTCAGTTAATTATCAAGCAGAAGTCAATGAATGCACAGGAAGGAAGGGCATTATGGTCAATTAGAATATGAATGCTTTTTTTATATTAACCGTATCCAGAAAAGATGTGAAACGAGCAAAACCAATATAACACTAACATGTCATGCTGTAGGAAAAAGCTAAAAATATCCTCTCTTTCCAGTGTTAACTGCCATTGACTCAGACTGAAATTAGCACATGCTGCGGGTACAGCAGTTGCAGTGACAGCCCAGCTAGAGAGGTAAAGAGAAAATATACAGAAAATAATGTCTCATTTGTGTATTTCTATGCATACAGCACACTACCCATTTGAACAAATTATTCATTTATTTTTTTAATTTAACACGCAATTTGAATTAAATTTACCTGAACACATAAAATGCAAGATGGATTTTTACAGTTATTTTAAAAGGAATCCAGGAGTGAAGACTATATTTTTTTTTCCCTATTAATGAAGACGATATACAAGAAACTGGCACCTATATTTATAGTACTGTAGTTAATAAGATTTATTGGATAACATAGGCAGTAACAGGTAACTGACAAACAGGTGATCTGTTATACAGAGAAGAAGAACGGGGAGATGGAACAAAGAGAAGAGAAAGAAAAAAAGGATGAGGGGGAAATATAGGTGGAAAAAGAGAGGAGACTTTAGAAAAAATAGCTCAGAGAATAGTCATATTTGTACCATTGGGTACATTGGTCATATGATGTTTTAGCAAACATCTTTACAAAATGTAGGCAAATATCCATTTTGCTACCTCCTTGTGAGTACATATCAGTGAATTGCAATAGCCAGGCTAAAATTGCCCAGGCGTGACCATGTACAAACTATAGCCGTAAACACAGTGCTATATATATATATATATCCCCATCCAAGCTCACACAGCCTTTAGATTTTAACACACCCTCACACAGCCTTACACATACACCAATATACATACGCTTACACAACCTTACATATACACTCATATATACACACTCACAGACACATACACCCATATACAAACACTCACACAGCCTTATGCATAAATGTATACACATACTTACATAGACACAATGGTAGCAGGTAGACATGTGAAATTTGTTTCGTTCCGAATATACATTCAGATGAATTTCATGCAATTCGGACATTTGGATGCTTACGAATTAACGAATTACATTTGTCCGAATTGCTGAAGTGCTTCGGATTTCTGAAAAGT